TGTCTGTCTTTTTTTTTTTCTCAGGAGAGAGAAGTCCAGGCACGAAAGCAGCTGCTGGAGGCTGAGAGAAGGCGGCGAGAGGAGGTGGAGAGGAGGCTGCAGGATGAGACTGCACACAGACAGAGACTTGTGGAGGAAGAGGTCAAGCTGAGAGAGAAACAGTGTTCCCAGGTCAGTACGTCTGGTGAACACCTCAATGAACTGCTCTCAGATAGTCGCCCAGTCTTTTATTAGGCAGACATAAAATCCTCACATTTCCCAGTGAGATAAAAGGGACAGTACATAAGGCTTGCATTAATAAGTCATTAATAAATATTAATATTTATAATCATAATGCTTTATAGATCAGTAGTTCATGTACATTCATATGTATATATGAATTCATGTATATTTGGGTCAGTGATGTGGCACTAAGGTTATTCTAAAATACATCAAAAATATAATTAAAACTCAGAAATTACTTGAATACACTCTTATTAGTGATTTTGATATTTTTGTTTATTATTTAATTCTTTTAATTTATTTAATTTTATATAATCTTTAAAAACTGTCTAGGTCTAACTCTCCATCAACTGTAAAAAATAAAAATAATAATAATTAAAAGGCTTCATGAAAAGAAATGTTGGCATAATTAAAAGAAAAAAATAGCAGTGAAGCAATTTTGGATTTTGATTTAGTAGTATTTACAGAACTTCCTGTCAAATCAAAGTCAGTGTGACATCAACAACATGCAGAAACCCAGAAAATAGAGGACCCCTTTAGTTTATTACATTCAACACTCAACTAGTTGAATAAGCATTACCTAAAATGTTTAGCATAATATAATGTGTATATAAAACATAACACCATGTTAGTGTTAAAAACAGAAGTGTTTGAGACACACAGTAGAGTAGCGCCTACACACACTTGAACAGACAGTCTCACTGTCTGCGTACAATTCTGAACCCAGCAGTGAGCTTCGCTGGTGCCGCTCTGAAGTCAGTGAATGTTTCGAGTTGCTCTTTAAAAGTCTTTGAGGTCACTGGCTCAGCTTGACTGGGCCAGACGGGAAGCATGAATGCACAGAGAGCAGCTCCGCACAGCAGGTGGATGAGAGGAGACACGCAGACAGATGGTGAGAGGGAGACAGCAGAAAGAAGATAAGATGGGAGGAAGAGGAGGGGTGTAAGACAGAGGCAAAGAAGGGCAGGGCAGTAGGACACCAATGTTTCAAACACCGATAAGTGACATAACCAAAACAATGAAATCAACCTGTGATTTTCACTACTGTATGAATTGACATTTTTCTGACACGTCTTAAATGTAGTGATCACAACATCAAAATGATCATGTTATATTTCCATGAAATATATTGTTATTATGTGTACCTGAGCAAGTCAGTTTTATGGAAATATTGGCGACAGTAGCTAATCCCAGCTCTGCCCTCCTCAGGCTCGGCCAATGACGCGCTACCTGCCTATTCGAAAAGAGGAGTTTGACCTGCGTTCTCATGTGGAGTCTTCAGGCCACTGCGTGGACACATGTGCATATGTCATTGTTACAGAGAAAATGTGCAAGGGCCATCTTGTGAAGATGGGTGGCAAGATCAAATCTTGGAAAAAACGCTGGTTTGTCTTTGATCGACTTAAAAGGACCTTCTCTTATTACGTAGGTAAGATAATTGTTGTATTTATTCCTAAATAAATTGTCAGCAAATAGTTAATTTTTTTATTTTTTACATTTTTTAAGTTTGAAATTTTTTTTTTTTTACTTCAGTGAAGCTTTTTTTTTTAACTATATGTAATTATAAAACCAATTTATTTTGACAAATTGGTAGTGTATTGAATTTAAGTCTACAAGAAAGCACATAATTTTTCTGTTTTTGCTTGGGATCATTCAAAATATGTAAGGTGAAAAAAGAAAAAGAGAAGAAATAACAAGGTTAAACAAATAAACAAAAACAATCCAACGGCATTGACAAAGTGGCATTTTCTGGTGAAATGTTTTATCTGGCTTCGCTCGATTTCCGATCATCCTGTCTTTCTTTTAGATGTTCTCTCTCTTTCTCACACATATGCTTTGCTCATGTGTGTAGCCTTTTCACCCCCTCACTCCCCATGTTAGTAGTGATGATGGTGATGATGATGATGAAATAAACTGCAATACTTTCTCTAGCCCAGCGTTTGTGAGGGATGGGGGTGTAGATTTACCCCTGGCTCAGTTCTAAGTAACAATACTGCACTTACAACTCTTCAAAAACATGATACAAAAACAATTTATCCCATTACTAAGCAGATTTGTGTAACGAATAGAGGCGAGCCAAAAAATATTTTTCAAAAAGGAAAGTAATAAATCTTAAGCGTCGACAGGTGCAAGGGGGCTCACTGGAGGCTGACAAGCCTAAAAAAGTGGTTTCAAATCATCTACCAGATAGAATCAATCTGAAGAGAGGTGTTAATTTGCGCTAAGTAGCGAAAAGCAAAGTCTGTCAGAGAAGCTGCAGTGGGTGGCAGACAGTGTTAAATTGAGACAGACAATGCTTTAAGGTGAATCACTTTGTGCGCTACTTCTACCACGTGCATGTTCGATCCCTGAGGCAAAGCTTTTAAAAAGTTTTTCCTTTTTTTTAAATTCTAATATCTATGAATAAAAGATATTAAAAAAGATATTACTGGAATACAAAACAAATTACAACAGATGTATTGTGTAATGCAAATAAACCACAAATGGGAACTGGCAAATGTAATCTCTTCTTAATGAATAACAAAGCTGATCTGTGTGAAAAAATTTTATTAACAGAATTTTTATTTTCCTCATGGTTTTTGCTTCTCAGATAAACATGAGACCAAACTAAAGGGTGTCATCTACTTCCAAGCCATAGAAGAGGTGTATTACGATCACCTGCGCAGTGCAACTAAGGTAATGAGTGCTTTTTCAACACCTCCTGTTTATTGTCAACATCAACATATCAAGCTCCATACCACTCACACTACAGCACCAACTTTGGTGAGCACATAGTGAAAGTTTAAACAGACAGGCATCTTTTTATAAAGAGAATTTCTTACAGCAGAAGGCAAAAGAGATCAAAGGCGGCTTCATGTTCATGTACATTTCGTCATGCTTTCTTTTTTTACTCTTCAGCGACATGCCTTTTTTTCCTGCCCTGCTGTTCTCCGTCTTCTCACACTTTAACACACACTTTGGTTTTTTTTCCTGTCCTTACAGAGTCCGAATCCTTCGCTAACCTTTTGTGTGAAGACTCACGATCGACTTTATTTCATGGTGGCACCGTCCCCAGAGGCCATGCGCATTTGGATGGACGTCATAGTAACGGGTGCCGAAGGCTACACGCAGTTTATGACCTGAGGGAGAGTGGATGCAATTCTGCCTGCAGTGATGTGAGAGCGGGCAGGACTCATTTAACAGGACGTGTAACATATGCAATATAATGTTTAAAAACTTCAGCCAGCACTGACTGATTTCTTTATCATTGTGACAAGAGAAAAACTGGAAAGCAGGCTGGCCTGATGACGATGTATTATTGTGCAACTGATGGTCAGATTTTATGTTACTAAAAAGAGAAGCTAAAAATGTATATTTAATATATATATATATATCTATATATATATATATATATATATATAGATATATATATATATAGATAGAGAGAGTGGAAGCGAAGAATGTTTTTCTCTGTATTGTTGTAATACAGACACAGGAGACAGTTACAGAGCTTACAGTATTTTATGGCATTTCAAATCAATCATATGCTTAGTCCTTTTTTTAAAATCTACAGTTTTATGGTGCCAAGTATTCAGGTGCATATACATCAGTGTATTACCTTTTTACTTCTAGTTATTTAGGTGCAGTTACTTGGTTACAATGAGATTACATTTAAGTGATAGCAGTCATAATCTCTTTTTAGGTAGAAAATCAGCATTCACATTTTAAATTGCTATGAAAGATATTTTACCGCATTTCAGGTGCTGTATGTGTCTGATATATATATAATGTTCTTTGCTGCAAAGATTATTAAACAAATGGCTCAGGTGCTCAGATATGTAACTAAAACCTGTAGGCCTGCTACCTGATTTGTAACTTTATCATACAAGATTATTTGGTGGGGGACCATTGCAGTAAATATTTTTGTTTTCAAGACCTTGGTACTTTTGTACCGACAGGTTTTGTCTTGCCAAAGCTTCACCCATGTTGATATGTGTACTCTGACTTGCACATCTTTTATTTCAGGGTTTTAAAAAATGTGTGGATGTGCCATAATTATAATCATAATGATTTATAATCTGATATTTTGTGTATTGTGCTGTTCAGATTATTGATATCGTCTTTAATGAGAAGAAAAGTGTGAACTTTTGATAATTCAGAGTTACAACACTAACAATGTATTTCTAAATATTAACTTTTTTTAAAACAAGTAGCATATACTCTAAAGCAAATAAAAAGTCTAACAAAATATAGCGTTTTCTTGTGCATATATAGGGGAGAGCTGAGCTAGTTGTCACGCCATTTACTCTGATGAATATTTTTCAGGCTTGGTTTATTTTTGCTAATTTTGCTAATGCTAATTTCTTGACTGCAAAATATTTGGCCATTTCCACCATTATTGCCCAGGTGAAAAAAAAGTAGTGGGACAAAATTAAAAAACTAAAACAATTGTTACAGAACAATCCATGACAATGCAGAGGGGAAGGGTAACATACGGAAAAAAAGAACTACTTAAAAAATATATATAATATAAATTGTATATGTTTATGAAACATAGTTGGCTTATCTGAATGTATCTCAGTGTTGTTTTATTTTGTTAACTTGTTTACCAAACAGATGTAACTAAAATATGATTCTTAACATTTTAAAAATGAGTTGGGAAGAGAAAAATCATGTACTCTTTGTAATTGAACACTTAACTCAAAATAGTTATTGAGAAATAGCTTTTGTGACAACGTCTCTGTGTTATAACAAGCCCTAACAAATCATGTATATAAAATTCCCTGATAAAAATACAACTGTGTATAATCATATTGGTATAACCAACTTGATCCACGCATTTAAATAATCCACAAAATAGGATCCTCTCACAATATTTTATACCTAAAATGTTATCACTCACATTGCACAAACCATTATGCCATAGCCAGTGCTATATTTGCCTAACAGACAAAACAAAACTGGCAAATCAAATTTATGGCACCATGGGTCAGTTCCGCATGCACTGTCAGGCAATGTGAGGGTTCAGTTATAAAAGACTCCTCACTGTAACCGCAGAACACACACTTCTGCAGTTACAACTGTATCTGTTAATGGACAGGGAATTTCCCCACAGTATAAACAATAAAGTTTCAAAATGAAAACAAAAAAAAGTGTTTATTTTTTATTTAGACCAAGAAACAATTGAACCCCTTCAGACCTGAATTCTTCCAAAAGTAAATTGTCCCTGTTCTTAAGGCTTCCATAAATGAGACCAAATAATAATTATACAAAATGTCAACACTCTTTAATTGTAATTGTTTTGTCCATTTCAGTGGACATCAGGTCGAAACAATTGTACTTCACAATTTTATTTAAAACCCTGTTTGCATTTCTCTGTTTGAGGGATTATGTCTGGAGATCAACCCGAGCGCTCGCTCGTGAAGCGGATGGTTTTCCCCGTGTGCCCGGTAGAGGGCGCAACTCGTCACGTCTCACCGCTTCAGCGCGTGTTTTCATGCCCCCAGATGCGAGGGCTGGATCTGCTGAGGCCCCGGGGCCCTGAGCTTGTTTTCTTCTCTGCCTCGCACCCAGTCATTACCATAACAGTTAAATGCAACTACAAATGTCATCAGCGTTATAATGATGCCATCTGTCTCCACCAGCAGAAGCTCAACAATTAATTTATCACTTGATGCTAATTCATCTCA